CACATGTTAGAAAAACTAGCAACAACAAATGTTGGCGAGGATGTGGAGAAAAAGGAACTCTCCTGCAGTGTTGGTGGGAGTGCAAACTGGTCCAACCACTATGGAGAGCTGTGTGGAGATTTCTTGACCTACGAAACATAGAGCTTCCATATGATCCAGCAATTCCACTCATAGGTATTTACCCAAAGGACACAGAAACATCAATTCCAAAGAGCACCTGCACTCCTATGTTTATAGCAGCACTATTTACAATGGCTAAGCTTTGGAAACAACCCAAATGCCCAAAAATAGATGACTGGATCAAGAAGATGTGGTACATATACACCATGGAATATTACTGTATTCCATGGAATACAGTATTCCATGGAATACAAGAAGATGTGGTACATATACACCATGGAATATTATGGTGTATATGTGGTACATATACACCATGGAATATTACTCAGCATTCAAAAAAGATAAACACATGCCATTTGCAGCAACATGGATGGCGCTGGAAGGGATCATGCTCAGCGAAATAAGCCAGAAAGAAAAAGAAAAATACCGGATGGTCTCACTCATAGCAGGAATCTAGAAAACTTAAATAAGGGACCAGGAGAAAGAATAACTGTAAGAAAGTAAAAATCAAAATCAACAAACAACTATGAACCAGAGACACTCTAGGGGGGATGGGGAGGGGAGGGAGTGGAGTCATAATAAGGGGGTAGCAATTGTATGGGGAATATAAAAATTATAAAAAAAAAAAAAAAAACACCTATGCAGAGCTTCCAGGAATAACTCCCAGGGCCTTGTCACAGTGGAGAAGACTGTCACCATGCAATTGGAGGCTGGTGTGTGTGAAACACGCAACCTCTGGCCTGCTGTAAACCAGCAGAGAAGAGGGACTCATGCTCTGCCTCTCACACCATCCCGCTCACTCAGCTCTGAAACCCAGTCTGCACATGAACACAACCAACAGCATTGCCAGAAACTGAGTCATGTGGGAATTTTTTCAAGCAGCTTTTTTGTTTTTTTAGCATCTGCAGCACAAGAGGTTGGGATGAACATTAAGATCACAGACAGGAGGACTGGAGTTTATACTGGGAAATTAAATCAGTGTTGGCGCAAGGGAGGGTTGGAAACAGGAATAAGAAAACCTGACTTCTTATCCAAGAAGGTACACCAGGTCAAGGGGAAAATAATTTAAAGATGGAAATTTACAGAAGTTAAGTCTGAGAGATGTAGTTGAGACCACAGTCTTTACAATCAGCAGCTCGACTTTCTCCCTAAGAGGAAATGTTTACTAGCAGGATGTGCAAATGTTTCTTGGTTTACCTGTTTAACAGGCATCTGATAAGATGCTTTAAGAAACCAAGGCTATGAAAGAGACTGGAATGAAAGAAATGGCCTTCACTGACATCCTAGCCATAGATTTGCATATTCAAGTCATGTCCTCATCTTAAACCCTCGGCAACCTCCCCTCTGTATGGGACAACCTGCTATGGCACTCAGGATGCAGTTTCTACATTGCCTGGCATGTAGAAAGAGAAGTTCCACCAAAGTGATGAAGACACAGTCACTTTCTCTTCAATGACACAATCAGCTTCAACTCACTGCAAGATTGGCAGTAACAGGGCATCTCCCAGAAGTATTCCACTCACTGGGCACTAGTAATTAAAGAAGGATGTCGCTGGCCCCCAAACTGCAAGGAATCCAGGACTTCCTTGTGCACATATATGCCTGGCCTTTCATGGACCACTTTTTATAAAACGTCATCAATCTGAATTTGGGGAGCATACATCTGATACCAGGGCACCCTAATGTTCTCTAAGGCCAACATTACTCTTACACTCTAGGAGTGACAATTCAAAAAAAGCACTATTATTATTATTCAAGGCATCTCTACATATTTTGTTTGCTCTCCATTACAATTTTAGGATACAGGCAGGAAAATTTAAAAGATTTCCAGGGAAAGATGAAGAATCTGGGATGCAGGTAGTAGAGAGGAGGCTTCTGTCCCAGGCCCACTAATTACACATCCAGGGGCAACACAACTTCTGTTGCCCACCTCAGAGCCGCAACAGATCCTCAGGAATCAGAAGTCAGACCACTGAGCCTCCCTAGGAAATACTGAAATGCTTCATTTCCCCTTAAGCACACTAACATTTTCTGGGTCATACTGGAGTAAAATATTCTAGTTCAATTTTGGAAACAATTTTAAAGAAGGGGAAAGGAGGGAAAAATCTCTAATGCCAATTTCCAACCGTTTTCTGTGCCCATGCTCTACTAACATCTGACTTTCTGCACAAATCTAAAGACCTTCTCCTGAAATCCTTTACAAAGTACTAGATACACATTATCTTTCAATTTAATACTTACTTTACTGTCAGAACTCCATATTCCCTTATGAAAACTGAAGATACCTTAGTAGAAGGCATGTATGATGGGCATGAGTAAAACAGAAGTCCCATTTGCCCTTAAACCGACCAGTCACTTCATCTTTGTATTTTCATAGGAAGTAGCTAAAGAAACACAGTTTTGACCTTTACTAAACAAGTTGCTATAAAGGAAAGAAATTACCTGCTTTTCCATCCCAAATTGACAATAATTGTAACTGGTAACATTTACTAAGGGCACAGTTTGTGCCAGGCACCACTGCTAAGCCCATGACATCATTTCACTTTATAACACTCCTGGGAAATAAATATTATTCACATTTTATACACTATGTGATATGTAAAAAAAAATTTTCTCTTTTTTCTTGTGATGAGAACTGGTTTATATTTCTTTTTAATTCAAGTTAACACTGGTTTACAATATTGTATATGCTTTAGAGGTACAGAATCTCCCCCTTCAGGTGTTGTTATCACACCACACCCACCACCAAGTCCGTTGGGTTCTCTCCTACTTTATTCTCTCTCCTCTGCCTCCAATTCCCCCTCCAATAGCCTCAGATTTCTGGGGTTTCTCTGGTTGTTGAATTGGCTTTATCTGGCCCTTTGTTTTGTTCCTCTATATTCCACATGTAAGTGACACTATTTGGTATTTATCTTTCTCCTTCTGACTTATTTCGCTTAACATAATCCTCTCCAGTTCCATCCATGTTGTCACAAATGGCAAGAACTTTCCTTTTCTATAGCTTAGTAATATTCCAGTGCATGTGCCTCTGTGTGTGTGTGTGTGTGTGTATCCTTCCTAATCCACTCCTCTGTCTTTGGCACTTAGATTATTTCCATAGTTTGGCTATTGTAAATAATGCTTCAATGAACATAGGAGTGCATGTATCCCTTAAGTATTTTTGTACTCTTCGGGTAGATACCTAAGAGTGGAATTACCAGATGTTGTGGTAGATCCATTTATAATATTTTGATGAACCTCCATACTGTTTTGCATAAAAACTGGACCATTCTATATTCCCACCAACAATGAATAAAGGCTCATTTTTCTCCAGAGTCTCACCGACACTTACTGTTTCTGATTTATTTGATGTATAAGTACCGCGCGCTAACCGATTGCGCCACTGGAGCTCCCGTTTCTGATTTATTTGATATGAGCTATTCTCACAGATGTGAGGTGGTATCTCTTTGTGGTTTTAATTTGCATTTCCCAGATGATAAGTGATAATGAACATTTTTTCATGGGACTATTGGTCATCTATATGTGTTCTTTGGAGAGGTGTCTTTTTAGCCTTTTTGATCATTTTATGATTTGGTTACTGTTTCCTTTTTTGTTGAGTTTTATGAATTCTTTACATATCTAGGGTATGTCCCTTGACAGATATATGACAAGGAATGGTGCAATTAAGTGAGTGCTTCTTGAATTTAATGTACAAAACAAGATGACCTGAGGATCTTGTTAAAATGTGAATTCTGATTCAGTAGGTCCTAGGACCAGGATGCAGGACCTGGGAATACTGGACACAAAGTTCAAAATCATTACATCCACTCTTACCCACTATGCCACACAAAGTGTGAAGATGTCCCTGGGACATCCCCTAGGAATCTGTGAGACATGCAAATTCTAGGGCCTAGGGTTGGGCCCGGTGATCTGTGTTATAACAAGCCCTCCAGGAAATTCTGATGCATACTCAGAATCCCCTACCCTATGCCACACTTTGGTTTCTCCATTTTGAGAAGTCTTTCCTGCCAGTCTGTATTTGAGTCTTACACTGTCTTTGGGGTTTTGAAATATTGCAATCTCTACGTACTAATTACTATCATACAAAAGGTAGTTTCTTCAGATAATGCTACAAACATACTACATCTCACAACTAAAACTGCATTGCTTTCATCTTCTCCATATCAGAGATGAATGGCAAAACAACGTATGCAGCCAATAAGATGGAAGGCAAAGAGGAACTTAACTGGCTTTCCAAATCAAATTGTTTATATGCTCCAGGGTTATAAAGTATAACTGAGCTGCTGCAGGCATGTGCTTTATACCTAGGAAATGATCATTCTCCTAGGCATAAGCAGAGAACAGATTTCTGTGAAGGAATGGAAATATTTCCCCAGAAAATTCCCCAGCACAGCAACAACAATGATGTAATCATTTATTTTTCACATTCAGAACCACAGAACTTCAATTCAGTGCTTCCCCCAAAGCAGGCCTCTGTGATGCTCGGAAATAATACATAAACACACACACACACACACACACACACACACACACCCCTATATGTAACCCTAAAATGGAGACTAAATGCAACTCAAAAAAAAAAAAAAAAAGGAGACAAGCACAGAAACATGTTTCTACTTATAAAGCCAAAAATAATAGTATAACATTCTCTTCAATTTACAGTCTACTTAAGGTCTGCTTTGGTCCTTACTTTATCTGACCCACTACATTCATCCTCACTAAAGCACCTACCTCAAACTCATTCTAGCCAGACTCCAGTCAAGATATTTTATAAGTTGAAAGTGTGATAGGCTCTTGATGACAGCACATATTTTCCCCCATCTGCACTAAATTCAAACCATTCTTTGCAGTCCTATCAGACATGAGCAAAGTCGCTTATAGCCAGTAGGTGTCCTTTGATTTTATTTTTAGAATACCCTATGAATAAAATAGAGTTGGATTACCCAAAGAAAGCCAGTAACCAAATATGACAATCTGAATAATCAAAAGAATTCTAATGTTTTATCTAGAGAGTAGTTACCCCCAAAGCCATTGGAGGTAATGTTATATTGAGATTCCACATTTTAGATAATCCAAAAGAGATACCTACAGTGTTGAAAGATGCTGTAATTCAGCACAAAGGCTCAGTAATTCTCAGTGAAGAAGCAAGCATGAGTGTGTGTGCTTGCACTCATGAGTGCACATGCATGTACACATACACTTACCACTTAGGACCTGGTGAGGAGGTTTCAGTGAAAGAAAAACCAACCTCTCGGTCTCCTGCTATACGATCCTCTCCCTAAATTAGGTGTTTTCCTCTCACACCTAAACTTCTTCCACTGCTATCTTTAGATATTTAATTAATTTGCACCCAGGTCTCCAGAACTCTGATTCCTTCACTTGCATCTGAGCCTGACCCCAGAGAATCAAATACATATTCACACTCTCAGAAGCTGGTGATCTTACCATATTTAACAAGAAGCATCTCTGACAGTAATTGGAGTTTCATATCAAGGTAAATAAATGGTAAGATCATAAGAACATACTCCAGTGGCCCTGTGCATCCTGGAAATGCTAACATCAGAGAGCAAATTTAACATAAGGCCTCAGTGGAAATGAATTTTCTATAAACAAACAATGTGAAGAAAGCCTCACTTTTGTCATGTCTTATTCCCATTGAAGAAAAGATGAATATTCTGTTTCATATGTTTGTTACCAGAAGCTGCTGCTTCATTTATTAAATAAAAGGGTTTTTACTTCCTCACTGATAACTTGGTGGACCAAGTTATCATATCTTGGCCAACATTGGACAAGCAATCTTACCCAGCAGTGTTTAATGCAAATTGTCCAAATTGCTAAATGTGCTGTGAGGCTAGCACTTCAAGTGAGTCTGTTTTAAAGGCATCTTCTCTCTTTCTTTTATCCACAGTGAATGAAGCACTACCTTTGAGAACTAGGAGCTTTCTATAGGACAGGCTTTCTCAGACTCAGCACTACTGACATGTGTGGACAGATCATTTCTGCTGTGAGAGCAGTGGGAGGTGGGATAATGGCTACACAAAGATGATCATGCTCTAATCACTAGAACCTGTGAAAGTCACATTACATGGTAAAAGGAAGTTAAGGCTTGCAAATAAAAATCAAGGTTACTAATCAGCTTACCTTAAATTAGAGAGATTATACTGGATTATCTGGGTGGGCCCAGTATAATCACAGATACCTTTAGAACAGAAACAGGGAGGCAAAGTATTTGGTCAGAAAGATGTAATGATGGAAATGCAGGAGAGATTCTAAATAAGAGGCACTTCACCCATCACATTGCTGGCTTTGAGCATGGGGAAAGGAAGCACAAGCCAAGGAATACAGGAGGTTTTAGAAACTGGAATAAGCAAGAATGCATTCTCCCCTCAGGCACCCAGAAAGGAACAGAGTGCTGCTGACACCTGAATTTTAGCCCTGTGAGTCCACGTCAGATTACTGGTATTGTTTTAGGCTACTTTGTTAGTGATCATTTATTCTGGTAGCTGTTGTTTTTGGCAGTCCTTATATTAAAAACTAAAAGTGGAATCTAGAGAAACCAAACAAAGGATCAGACAAACTGTAAGACTGATCCTTGAAAACAGACAATAGATCTGAGACATTCGGGAGGGAGGGAGGGAGGGAGGGAACAGAAAGTGGGAAGGGGAAGGAAAATATAATTGACTAATTGACTATGGTGGAGGGCTACGAATGTTTTGGTGGTGGGAAAGCTATGAAGACCACATCCAAGGGGAGAAATCCTATATTATGAAAAAATAAACAAGAATGCTTTAAAATATATTTAAAAACTATTAGAAAGCCCACACTGCGTATCAAAGGATCACTAGCAACATCCATAGCTTCACTTGATGTGTGTAGAACCAAGCTCTGACCCTCAAAATAGCTTCCAGATATTGCCGAATGTTCCCTGGGGGGTAAAATCCCCACACACACACCATGAGAACCAGTGTTCTAGCACTACCAGGCTTATTATTTTTAGAATAATATTCTCTTGTTACTATCTGGACATAAAAATAGACTCCATCTCAAACACTGAGGCCAAGTTGCTTCAAGCTAGAAGGTGACTGGGCAGGAATGAGGCCCACGTATACTCATAGGAAAGCAGTGCTTTGTCTCACCCCAGTCAAATCCTACCACCAGCCCATTTCACTGGGGTTCAGGGCCACTTCTGATGAATATATACATATGCACAGATCTTGGAAAAATTTTTAAATGAGATTTAACTATTAAAATTCATGTTGATGCCTTCTGGTTAGAGCAGTCCTCCATCCCCCACCCCCCAAAAAAAGCCTACCCAGTACTTGGTTACTGTTCTCTGAATACAACCACAGGAGTTTTTTAAACATCTGTATCACAGGGACGTATAAGCTTTAAACTTTTTTGCAGTCCCATTTACTCTGAAAGTTACCTGTATGACAGAGCAGCTGTCACCATCCTTAGGCACCATCTTACCTGGCCAAGTGAGCATGCTCCTATTAGCACTAGTTCTGTTTTCTGTTCTCTTGAAGCATGACCTCCTTGGTACTGTTGGCATCCACTGGCATCAAATGGAGTCACCTCATACAAGCATTAGTCACTAGACAAATTGCAAATTCCAAATCAAGTTGGCGTGCCTTATAGAAATGACTTTTGGATATTGCTATTTCTTTTACTCATGGGAAATTTCAGGAGAAGACTGCCTAGGTGCACTGGGGGCGGCAGAGAGACAAAGCAACTCCAAGGACAGTAGTGACCCCCCTCCTACAATGGACAATAACTATATCATATCCACATTATCCATAATGGATCATTCTGCTAACATGGATTTTTCTTTTCTTTTCTAGCTCTGCAATATTTGGCTCACTCTACTATCATATTAAAGTAAGAAATCAATGCTAGACCCTTTGCCTTTGCAGAGTCCAATGTCAGAAATATTTCTTGCTGCTTTAACTTAATATCACTTTCCTCTGCTTTTTAACTTTCTTAAATTTTACTCCGAGAGATAATCAGCCTCAGGGCAGGAGACAGAAATACAGCCTTGCATCAGAAAGCACCATTCAGATTATATTTTATTGATGTCATGCTAACAGCATCCCCAAACTGGATGGTAGTTATTTAAAGTGGTTGCATGGTGAAGCTGTTTATTACCTTACACTAAGCTAAGGAAACAGAGGCCAAACCGTTTCTAACATCCAGTCAGTAATTTAAGAAGAATAAAGCACAATTTCACATCTGAACAAAGGCACCTAAACTGCTACTGGAATGACAAGCACTACCAGAAAACCCTTTCAATGTCTGGAAAGCAGTCTGCCACACAGTCTGGATGCTTTTTCAGCGGGATCAGGAGTGATTGGTCAGCAGTAAATTCTGCTTTAGGCATCAAAATGGCAGGAAGGAAATGCAGGGCAAGCGGGGCATAAAACCACACTGAGATGCAGAACATTGTCAAATTGGGTTGTTGAGCAACTTTCACCTTTGGCTGCTTTCAAGCTGGGCTAACAAGGCCCTTGGTGGATCCTGCAGGTCTACTTGCTGTAATTCCTTGGGTCTAAAGGAAAGAGAAACGGAAATCGCTTGAGGCAAATTTTCTGTCCCCATTTTAAAGGAGGAAGTCCAAAACCAATGGTTGATCATTTTCATTCCTGACAAAAGGGAGAAAATTTAAAGTTGGGGCAATTGTTGGAGGGCTTTCTATCCAGTAAACATTTATTTAGTACTTCCTATGTGGAAATGATTGGCTCAGGCAAATAAAACTGACAATATGTAAGACATGACTCTTTTTTAAAGGTTAATATTTACACAATTATAATATGATTTATAATTAAATGCTTGCTATAAGCAAGGTACAAACAAGAGCTCCCAGGCCATGATGGAGTGATCAGGGAAAGTGCAGGAAAGTCATAGCATTGAAGCTGAGACTTTCAGTTTGACAATGATCGTGACAGAGTAGACACGGAAGGGCACTCTGAGCTGAGAACATAGCTGAGAGCAAAGGCTCAGTGACATGGACATGCAAAACCACATCTGGGAAACAGACAGTAATATAGACTGGAAGCAAAATGTTAAAATGGAAAATTATCCTCCCTGATGAACGCTCCAAGTAACTAGCTAAAACTACGCCAGCACATAATGTTGGGGATGGTAAACATGCCCAAAAGTGATCCCCCAATGCATCACACTCATGTATACTTCTCTCTCCTTCAGTTTAGGTGGAATCTGAAGCTTACTTCCAACCAGAATATGTTGCAAGTGATAAGTTACTATTCCTGGTTAGATTATATGTCACAGGCAGTTACCCCAATGATGTTAGATTATACTTATAAGACTTCATCTTTGCAGATAGGAGAAAGAGGCTCTTCTGCTTACACTGAGAAGTAAAGATAGGAGGTAGGAGCTGAAGAATAGCTTCCATTCAATAGCCCAGCAAGAAAAAAGGATCATGTTATGTAGATCTTTCCCCAGTCAAGCCTCAGATTAGATCACAGCCCCAGCCTATTCCTATATTACAGCCTGTAAGCTTTGATGACAAACTGGGTTAACCTGCCTGGACTCCTGACTCAAAGAAACTGTGACATAAATGGGTACTTTGCTAAGTCACTAAGTTTGTGGTAATTTGTAATCCAGCACAGAAAAGAAACATTGTGTTAATAAATATTGAAAAGTATGGTCATTCAAACCAGAGCAGGGAGGCCTTTGAATATCATGCTAGAGGAATTGAATTCCTTTGTAGAAATTAAGGCCCCACACTGTTTCATTTATAAGCACCTTATTTTTTTTTTTTTTATTTTTTTTTAATAAATTTTATTGTTATATTCCCCATACAATTGCAGCCCCCCCATTCTGACCCAATCCCTCCCCTCCCACCCCCGCCCCCTAAAAGTGTCTCTGGTTCATAGTTTTTTGTTGATTTTGATTTTCACTTTCTTGTAGTTATTCATTTTCCTGGTCCCTTATTTAAGTTTTCTAGATTCCTGCTATGAGTGAGACCATCCGGTATTTTTCTTTTTCTTTTTGGCTTATTTCGCTGAGCATGATCCCTTCCAGCGCCATCCATGTTGCTGCAAATTGCATGTGTTTATCTTTTTTGAATGCTGAGTAATATTCCATGGTATATATGTACCACATCTTCTTGATCCAGTCATCTATTTTTGGGCATTTGGGTTGTTTCCAAAGCTTAGCTATTGTAAACAGTGCTGCTATAAACATAGGGGTGCAGGTGTTCTTTGGAATTGATGTTTCTGTGTCCTTTGGGTAAATACCTAGGAGTGGAATTGCTGGGTCATATGGAAGCTCTATGTTTAGTAGGTCCAGAAATCTCCATACAGCTTTCCACAGTGGTTGGACCAGTTTGCACTCCCACCAACAGTGCAGAAGAGTTCCTTTTTCTCCACACCCTCGCCAAAATTTGTTGTTGCTAGTTTTTTTAATATGTGCCATTCTCACTGGTGTAAGATGGTATCTCATGGTAGTTTTGATTTGCATTTCCCTGATGACAAGTGATGTTGAACATTTTTTCATATGCCTGTTGGCCATTTGCATTTCCTCTTCAGAGAAGTTTCTTTTAAGCTCTTCTGCCCATTTTTTGACTGGATTATTTTCTTTGTTGTTGTTGAGTCTCATCAGCTCTTTGCAGATTTTTGTGATCAGTCCTTTATCATTAGTGTTGGGTGCAAAAATGTTCTCCCAGTTGGTGGGGTTTCTCTTTGTTTTTGTTATTGTCTCTTTTGCTGTGCAAAAGCTCTTTAATTTGATGTAGTCCCAGCTGTTTATCTTTGCCTTCACTATCACTGCTTTGGGTGATGTGTCTGTAAAGATGTCTTTGATGTGCAAATCACGTAGTGTTTCGCCTATATTTCCTTCTATATATTTTATGGTTTCAGGTCTTATGTCTAGTTCTTTAATCCATTTTGAGTTGATTTTTGTGTATGGTGTGAGGTGGTGGTCAAGCTTCATTCTTTTGCATGTAGCGACCCAGTTTTCCCAGCACCATTTATTGAACAAACTTTCTTTGCTCCAATGCATATTCTTTGCTCCTTTGTCAAAGATTAGTTGACCATAAATCTGTGGGTTTATTTCTGGATTTTCTATTCGATTCCATTGGTCTGTATGTCTGTTCTTGTTCCAATACCATGCAGTTTTGATGATTATGGCTTTGTAGTATAGTTTGAAGTCTGGGAGTCTGATGCCTCCATTCCCTTCTTTTTTTTTCAGGAGAGCTTTGGCTATTCGGGGTTTTTGGTGATTCCATATGAATTTCATCAATAATTGTTCTATTTCTTTGAAGAATGACATTGAAATTTTGATTGGAATAGCATTGAATCTGTATATTGCTTTTGGTAGGATGGCCATTTTAATAATGTTTATTCTTCCAATCCATGAGCAGGGGATGTCTCTCCATTTCTTTGTGTCTTCTTCTATTTCTTTTAACAGTGTTTTATAGTTTTCTTTGTATAGGTCCTTTACCTCTTTTGTTAGATTTATTCCCAAATATTTGATTTTTTTTGTTTCAATAACAAAAGGGATGGTCTTTTTGATTTCTTCTTCTTCAGATTTATTGTTTGTGTATAGGAAGGCTACTGACTTTTGCGTGTTGATTTTGTATCCTGCCACTTTACTGAACTGATTGATGAGTTGAATTAGCTTTTCTGTGGAGTTTTTGGGGTTCTCTATGTATAATATCATATCGTCTGCAAATAGTGATAGTTTGACTTCTTCTTTTCCTATTTGGATTCCTTGGATGTCTTTCTCTTGTCTTATTGCCCTGGCTAGGACTTCCAGTATTATATTGAAAAGCAATGGTGAGAGTGGACATCCTTGTCTTGTTCCAGATCTTAATGGAATTGTATAAGCACCTTATTAAGTGAACTAACATGGAGAGTGTTCACACAGTGCCTGGAACTAGTAAAATAAACTCTTAAGTATTAACTGTTACTTTTGTTGCTACTATTAATTTTTTTTTGCCATGAAGAAATTTCAAGAGAAATAAGGTGCTGTTCAAGACAAATGTTCACCTAAGGAACATTACTTTCCTTAGGTCTTAAGCTTTTGGAAACCTTGAGACTCTGAAGAAAACATAACAACCACCAAGAAAAACACATATTAATATATATACAACACTTTCAAGGAACTCTCAAATAAGAACCAGTGTTCTAAAATAATGTGGAAATGTGGCAAGTGACAGAGTTCTCTAAAAAACCCAAAAATCAGTACACTTAGGATCTCTGATGTTGAAGCTGTGACTCTGTTTTGGCCAGTGCCAGTTTTAGGTGCCATCTAACATCAAATAGGTGTTATTCCCAAGGTAGAAAATATGTTCACCTCCAGCACTGCCGCTTACCTTCAGATTGCCATGTGAGAAGGCAGACCCACAGCACAGTCGGCACTCCAAAAACCAGCCACAGAAAATTCTCTTCTGGCTTCCTAGTGTTCTTCTGGGCAATAATATGGAATCCAGAAAAGCAGCATCAATCTCCCCTAATCTCCATTCCTCTTACAAGGCACCTCTATCTCACTCTGGTAGACACAGCTTATAAGAAATGAAGGGACTGGTCCAATCTCATGAGAGCGCATCTACAGCACAAATAATTTTGATCAAAGTTGCCCATCCTACACTGAATGACCCATTCAATCAATCCAGAGAAAAATGCAGGCTTCAGATACTGCATTTATATCCAATTTGGTTTCTGTTTAAAGCTGACAACGGTATATTCTTAGGATTGTGAGGCATTCATAACTAAATTGGAATTTTAGTTTCCTGCCTAGGGAATATTTTTAAATGAACTTGGAAATGTAATGAATGATGTGTGGACCTATGAACAAAATAGAGTTCATGGAATTGTTCAAAGGGAAACTCAAGTTTCCATCCATGCATTCCGTTAAGTTGTTCTGAAATACCTATTATATACGCATGTGTATGCACATGTATATCACATTCGCTGTGGATTGAAATTAATAATCAAACTAGCACATAATTTTTAATTAAATCTGCATCTTTTCTGTCCCCCCAGCTGCCGGTCCGGTGTTTTTGTGGAACACATCTGGCAGCCCTCAGCATTCTCCACAGTCACTCGTCCTCTCAGTCCCCAGATACACCTGCTTTCTGCAGCTGGCTCCCCAACAGGTGCAACGGAAAGCCGGGTTGATGGGCATTATAAACACCCCTGCTGCTGAGCATCTGGGAGGTAGCAAAGGGCCCAATTCCAACTTCACTGTTCCTTCCTCCGGTGGAAGTGAAAAATGCCCTGTGAGATCTACACATGCTGGAGTCTCCATCAGTCACTTTCCCACTCCAGGAAGAAATGCTTCAGGTCAACTGGGTGTTAACAGCTGTGCCACCTCCCCGGTTATTAACAAAGGTCCCCACAGAGAGCTGGGGCCGTGGTCACTGTTGGCTTGTCTGAGCTTGTGAGCCCACAGCCAGTGGCCTGGATGCTCCATCTCCATTTGTTCTAATGAGCGAGGCAGGAATCTCCTCATGGTCCTCAAGTCTGTAACCATTAACCACCTGGTTTTGATTGGGGAGCCCACAGACCAGTGCTTCCCACAGTACTTCCAAATGAAAAACACATGAAAGCAATACATAC